TGGGGTCAGGGTAGAGCTGCTGTCATCACTTCTCCTAAATGACATCACACTCAACAGCCAAAGCACAAACCCCTTTTAACCTGAGGAGGGCGCCAAACCGACGTTTAGACATGAAATTTGCTTCAAATTTCAAAACAAATCACAGAAAACGTAGAACTATGAATACAGCAAATCAGTTGATTTAAGGGTGAGTCGCCCTTTAAGAGACAACAGGTGACAACTGCAGCAGCTTCTTCAGTTTCTGAGCCTCTATGATCCAAACCCAGACGGTCGGGTGTCTTTTAGTTGGGTTGATGTTCTCTCCATCGGGGTCGCCCTGCAGACTTTCTGAGAGCAGTCTGGATCTGCTTTGCTTCCCGCAGCCTAACGGAGGCGCCGTCAGCCTTCTGGAGAACGTGGCTCTGATATCGGAGGGGACGACGGGCCTGGTGACCTGGGAAGCTGCTCTTCATCTGGCAGAGTGGGCTCTGGAAAACCAGCAGCTGTTCAGCGGCAGGTAAACCAGAACCGCACCAGTCCAGAACCCTGGAAGCTTTTTTATTTCCTACCAACTCGATCCCGTAGGTCAGTTCTGGAGCTGGGAAGCGGTGTCGGATTGACCGGAATCGCCGTCTGCTGCTCCTGCGACCCGCTCAGGTTCGTCTTCAGCGACTGTCACCCGGCGGTTCTGCAGAAACTCAGAGAAAACGTCCGTCTGAACGGGTTTGGAGAGCAGACGTCTCCGGCTGTCAGCGTGGAGGAGCTGGACTGGACCACGGCGACGGAGGAGCAGATCCGCCGGATCGGAGCCGACGTGGTTCTGGCTGCAGGTCTGGGTCCGGGTTCTTCTCAGACCCCAGTGGGATCTGATGGGCTGATGGCGGGTCTGTGGCTCCCGTTTCAGACGTGGTGTACGATCCAGAGGCGGCAGGAAGTCTGGCGGCTCTGATGCTGAAGATCCTGAGCTGTGGGCCGGCGGAGGTCTACGTCTGCTCCACGGTGAGGAACCCGCAGACCTACGGCGGCTTCAAGCTGCAGCTCGGTAAGCATCTGGCTCATCAGAGATTACCATGGAAACGCTCCGGTTAACGGTTCTGCTTCCGTCTCCCTACAGAGGCTGCAGGACTGGACCACGAGGTGCTGAGCGGACCCGCCGGCGCCGTGTTCCCCTACCACAGGCTGGCTCCATTAGAGCTCATCAAAGTGTTCAGGAAGCCCAACGCAGCAGAATAAAGATTTTTATTTACAGATTTGGATCAGAAAACAAAAACGAAGGATTTTCATCTCTGCCTGAGAGCATCCAGCAGAGGAAGAACCTTCTGGTCCCAGTTATCGTCCCAGCGCTGCCCCCTGCTGGCCCGCAGGTTCCTCCTGAACGCTCCCAGTCTGCCGTCTGAACTGGGAAACTCTGACAGGAGAGACTGGAAACAGCAAAGGGACACGATTAGACTTTAAACAAACAGGAAGCAGATTATTTCAGTTCCTGGGTGATCGACAGGCAGACCGGTTGGACTGAGCTGCAGGAACAGACATTAAAAAT